GATGCAGAGACAACAGCGGACATGCTCACACCACTATTGCACAAGGTGTGGAAGGAAGAGAAGGTACCTGGCTAGTGATTGGAAGAAGGGTTACCTTGTCAAACCGCCGAAGAAAGGAGACCTCAGTGCTTGCAAGAACTGACACGGAATCACTCTCCTGTCCACCCAGAGCAAGCAAAATATTAAGCCGCATCATCCTGGAGAAGCTTAAAGATGCACTGGATTCAAAACTACGACCGGAACAGGCTGGCTGGCTGGATTCAGGAAGTACAAATCATGTGCAAACCAAATTGCAATGCTTCGCATCATCATACAACAGAGCATAGAATGGCAATCAGCTCTCTACCTCAACCTCATCGACTTTGAGAAGGCCTTTGACAGCGTCGACCGAAAAGTAATTTGGAAACTGCTTCAATACTATGGAGTACCGCAAACCTTTATCCGCCTCATTCAGCAACTATATGAAGATGCCACATGCCAAGTAATTCACAATGGGAAGCTCAGTGATGCTTTTGAAGTGAAGACAGGAGTGAAACAAGGTTGCCTACTATCCCCCATGATATTCCTTATTGTGGTGGACTGGATCATGCAGCAAACAGTAGGCAGCGAGAAGAGGGGGATACTCTGGACGGCGGAAAAGAACCTAGAAGACTTGGATTTCGCCGATGACTTGTGCCTAATGTCACATAAACTTGAAGATCTGCAGGCAAAAACTAACAAGTTGATAGAAGAGGCAGGGCAGCGAAGACGGGACTTCAAGTGAATATAGAGAAGACAGAGGTGATGAAGATACCGCACCACCACCATCAACAACAACAACAAACTCCAGTCACCATCAACGGGAGATAATTAAAGGAAGTAGCCTCCTTCACTTATCTAGGAAGCACTGTTTCAACTACAGGCGGGACGGACGAGGACGTCAAAGTCAGAATCGGAAAAGCAAGATAGGCGTTCAATAATCTGAAACCAGTGTGGAGATCTTCTGCACTCAGCATGTGGAACAAGATACGGATTTTCAACACCAATCCAGTCAAGTCAGTGCTTCTGTATGGTTCAGAGACTTGGCGCGTCACGAAAGGCATTTCCAATAAACTACAGACATTCATCAACAACTGCTTACAATGTCTCGCTACTGAAGATCACATGGTTAGAAAGAATAAACAACAAGGAGCTCTGGGAACGAACCATTCAAGAACCTATCACCCAACAAATATGCACTAGAAAGAAGTGGAGGTGGATTGGACATGCACTGAGAAAGCCGACTGAGGACATCACGCGTCAGGCCAGTTGCTCGAGTGGAATCCCCATGGGAAGCAACGAGTTGGACGTTCGAGGTGAGGGTGACATGGAGGAGGTCGTGCGAGGAGGAAATGAGAGCTTGTGGGCTGTCGTTGAGCCAGGTTCAAAAGATCTCAGAGAACAGGATGAAATGGAGACGTGCTACTAAAGCCCTATGTTCCACTAGGAACCCAAGGGACTAATAATAAAATAATAATAAACTTAATGTCCTTCAATTTTCCTCGTCTTCTAACTATCTTCTCCTTTGACTTTTTCAAATTGGTCTTCCTGTTATGAATAAAAAGTCAGACTTGTTTCCGCCTCTACTGTAGGAAAAGAGAAGACTGAGACGCAGGAAGGAACATTTATTATTGACATCCTATACAGTAGTGATGAAATATTGTACACTTTTCATTAAAATAGTCATTTGCACAGTGTGCTTCATTTTCTCTTCTGTTTCTATCTTGATTTTCTCTTATTTCGCTCAGATTGTCTCTTGCGTTCCTCTGGGCAGAATATTTACCCATCGCTTGTAATTACCATTGATTTCACCGCCCTCTCACCATATACTACTAATATCCATTCTTATCAGTACCAACCGCTACACTGAGACATTTATCAGTAAATCATCTGCTAATATGTCTTTAGGCAAAAAGGCTGCACTTAAATGCATTCCTATCAGTGGTATACATCCCAGTTATATCGTTAAAGAATTCAGGAAACTTCATCACTACTTAGCTTAGTTTGTTTTAGCGAGTATCAGTCGCTAATACTTGAGTTTCATGAGCATGAAGTTCACACACTTTCCTACGTGTACTGCTTAAGTATCAGCTTAGGACCCTTATTATGCTTCACTTGAATTCCATCTTTTCACTTTGAGACCAATCAAACACAAAAGTTATCCTAAGGAAATTAAGTTTTAGTAACATTAACCTCTTAAAACTATCTGGATACATCAAATCATCTTAAACGAAAGAGTAGAACGATTTGTCGGTGGTCACAGATGCTGAAACCTTAACAGTAACTTATCATATATGTAATATATGACTATAATAAATACCTTCCGGTAAATAAATGGGAACCAAAACAATCGAGTGGTGGGTATCCAACCTTAATATAAATAAAGTACCTCAGCTTTTGAACCTATGACATTCCCGTCTAAGTGGGCACGATAGAAGAATCATTATCTACTGATACAATGATCTAAAACAATCGTTGGGCAACAGTAAACATCAAAGGTATGGCAATCCAACTTTACTTTGTTGAGAAACATTGTCAGTTAAGCAGTTCGACAGCTGAATAGTTACTGTGCAATCTAAGTAAAATATATCTCTATATTGATTGGTCACGGGAGAGCAACCCATTTCATATTTTCTAGTCCTGAGTACAGACCGAATTCTATCGATAATATTTGCAATGTGGCCACCAAGCTAGCAGGCTCACCATCGCGATGCACATTAGGAGATGTTAGTTGGTTCGAGGTAGTCGGCAGGAAGCTCTGGAACTAGGTTTCGTGGTTTTTGGCAATCGTCAGAAAATTGTCGTATCTGCAACCTTAACGGAACTAGTGTTCTCCTTGAGATTGGAACTTGTGCTACATTGCTCTCCCGTGTCCAATCAATATATGTGACCCTGTCCTACAAGAGGTCAGTCGCGGCCCGAATAGCTTGGCGATTAGGTGCTTGATTACAAGACTGGGTGACGCGCATTCGAGTCTCAGTTTCATCGAGGTTGAGGACACATCTAGTTCTCGTCGATTGTCTCCAGCTAGCATCTGAAAGACATTTCTGCCATACATCCTAAGACTAGATGCATTGGCGCCAAAATGTATTCCATAATTGTTTTTTCATGACAAGATAATGTTAAAAAGTCTATTAAACTATTTTTCTATGAATAACTTGCAGTAAAACGAATCATAATTTCCTGGACGTCGATTAGGCTTTTCTACCCAAATGTTTATTATTGATGGAAGAAAATTCATCCACTTTCTCCATTATCCGATATGGAAGTGACGAAAAGAAGATGCGAAACAATAGATGAGGCTCATATCCTGACGGTGAATAGGATTCAGAGGTAGTTTTCATTGTGAACTGACACTGTTAACCTGTGTATAATGACTTCTCATCAAAACTGCAGGAGATCCGTTCCAAATTTACTAGTGGTTACGCAATAAGGTTAGTTTTGCGTTAATTCATTCTGAAATACTTTTCATCACAAGTTTACCATAGATTTTATTACTATTGTTGTAAAACACGATGGTCTTGGGTTTTATTCGATACAGAGTTTTTGGTGCATATGGCTGAGGAATTCTAGAAGAAGGTGAAACATTTGTCCAATGTTCACACATTTTCTATGCTTCTCTCACTAACGTCAATCCGTGACGAAAACTACTCTGCTACTGAACGACACTAATAGATTTGTAGATTCACCTATCCGGATCAGTGATGTGAGCAATTCTACTCTGTGAGGTGAGTTTTTTCAGGTAGAACGCTAATGAGCCTGACCTAAAACAAGTGAAACGGCAGTCCAGTGTTAAGATAACCCTGATCTGACTGATTAGCCCAATTAACAGATCAGCGTGAGTGGTTTCTAACCACTCAGGCTTTTAAGTAGTATATTTTGATATTTTGTGACACCATCGTGTCAGAGATCCCATCTTTAGGTCTTGGTCACAGGGTGGTTTCTGCAGGAAACCCCATTGGTACCACAGTTTGGCTGTTGGAAAGCTACTCAGCTGTGAGAAATGTCAACATGAACCATGAACTTTACTAACCATTTGTAAATTGTTCATTTTACTTTCTAAACTAATTAATACCTACAAACACCAAATAGAAATAATTCAGCCATGAGTACTGGTCCTAACTGCTTAAATAGAAAGAGATAGCAGGAATCTTAAACATTATACACGTGACCTACTGAATGAAAGATAATGATAGATTGTCGATGCTTTCTTTGTGAAGCCTGAATACTTAGTCTGGATTTTCTAAAAGTTATCAGCACGTGATAAAACTTTGGATGATTCTCACTGATCGACATTTGTCTAAATAGTATCAAACCACAGTATGAATCACCTTGAAATAAGCTTTGATTATCACCATGGTTTTACCATACACTGACAAACAGCTTGTTTATTCCACATAGTCTTGTCAATTTGAAGGTAGGTTTTTCATCGCGGGTGATGTTAGAAAAATATCGAAAGCTGGATAACACCGTCTTTCATTCCCACTAACATTGTCAGCGTACGATATTCTAGAATTGGAATAGACTCAGTAACCTTGTACACATTCGTGCAGAAGACAATATGCGATATCTATTGTCTGAAGGATAACGATACTACCTGATTGCACATACACCAATAGATAGAGCTGGATTCAAACCCGTGCCCCACTGGTTGAAAGTTAGCTGCCTAAACCAATGAAGTACAGCTTACGCTCCCATATATGATTAAGCCTGTGAATAACAGATAGCTTAGTGAGCACTTTGCTATCCAGTCAGTGAACTAAGACCCGACGGCTCATGTTTTCTAACTTTTCTTCATCCCTAATATGGTCCAGTCAACTTCAAGTATCATTGGTGAGTATGCATCCTGATTAGTTCTTAGCAGTTCATCTTAAACAAAGTCACCAATTGGCACTGAACTACTGTTTTATTGTAAACAGTGGGTAGATAAAGTTGTAATCAATCAAGGGATCTAATTTACTAAACAACCAATAGAAACTCACCAGTCGACTGATTTGATTCCTCAATGACTTGAAATAATTCTACTAAATTCGGATCATCACCCTCTGAAAAATTAAAGAAAAAATTATTGTGAATTATCATTTCAAACTGCAACCGATCTCCAAAAAGATTTACGTATTCACATTCCATTTTCTGTCATCTAACATCCGCCTCATTGAACAGTTTAGGCCAGTATGGATTTGTCAATGATAATCTATTCAAGCTACTTATTTCTGGAATACTTTTCAGCACAAAGTAGTTGACAAAATACGTAGTCTGTTGGACAACTTCAACTATAATCTATGTTTAAGATGCTGTTTTCACTTGCCAAATGCGAATCCTTATCACTGCCTTATCTGATGATAGAAAGTGGGGCAGTTGAGCGCGCATTGATGAACTCACTTACTCAAGAAGTCAGATTATTGCTGGTGGGTGAGCTATGGATGATGTTCTGGCATGGATAGAGAATTTTCGATTGGCTTCTATCAATGTGTGTCATTTGTGATAACGGCTTGACATCAGATTGCACTCTAAATGCCGAGTGTACTGTAGAGAAGTGTGCTCTGTTCTTCCATATGGCTGTGAAACATGAGCATTAAAGGTGAAGGATATAAAAAGATCCAAGATGTATGATCACCGTTACTTTTGTAGAGTAGACCATGTGTCATGGAATCTCTGAGTCAATAACGCAGAAGTCAAACGTAGAGTTCTAAGTGAAAGAAGTAATTAAGTGGATGAGATTAAAGAACATTCCTGACTTGAGAGGCCTGGGTATGGGTTGCGCATTCCTGTCCACCGTTTATTCCATGGCGCAATATTAGCTAAAATAAGTCTAGACTGAAAAAAGGGTAAGATGCAGAGGGCCTAAAACGCGGAACCATTTGGATAGATCGCTGACTGTTAGTCTGAGATATGTAGGGGAGTATAGACTTCAAAGCTAGGGTTTACATGACAAACGAAACAAATGACAAAGAATCTAAGTAATGCAGCTCAAAACTGATCTCCATCGCCGATACAGACATACATTACTTTACGCCTCCATCTTTTTCTCGTATATTGTTTCGCAACTACTGAACGCATTCTACCTTCCTATTTCTCTACTTTTTTTCATCTTACTGTCTTATATTTTCGCATGTTGGTTTGAAGTGGGGCAACTTTAACTGATATGCTGTACTATCCAACTGCAAGTTGATAAAAAACAACTGAGTACTTCCAGAAACAAAAGATAAACGCAGTCAAACATTTTGTTTCCTTTCTGACTTTCTTTTCAGTTGACGTTGCTACTTCATTCAGAGACTGAATGTAGAATGCGTTTTTTGTCTTCTGACTTCTCTTACAATACATTCAATTTATCAAGTTTAAATCAAATGGTTTATTTATTTTGTCAAATTTTAACCAATTTAAAATACAGCTTGACTGTGATATATTGTCCAGTAATTTTTCCACTTCTAAGTTTTTCGCTTAACTTTGCAAAATCTATTTCCATCTGTCTACTATTTCATACTTTTGCAGTTATGTCTGGATCGCCTTCCTTATTTTTTGATTATATATGAATTTACAACAGCCGTATGGAAGCAGTATACAAAGGACTGGAAACCACATATTTCGTCCCATCATGGAATCATCAGTTGTATATGTGTGTATCTCAGTCAGCGATAGCTATTCCATAAAGTTATTGATTCTTAACACTTTGATCAGAATCTAACGCTTCACAATTTCTTACATCTGTCGATTTGCAATCTAGTCCAACCATCATCTAATAACATTGGTTGGTATTATTAGTCGCAGCCAACCTGGCTGACTCTACTCAATCAGTGATGAATAAAACACTGCATCCAACCAATCCCACAAATCTCCAAATAGAATTTGTATCTATAGCTCGTTAGTGATATGTTTTGAGACGGATTTCTCAAAGTTCTAATACGAATGAAACGAAATGGAATATAGTCAGCCATCTGATATACATTCGCGCAGTATGCACTGAGCCACACATATTGTGTGAGGGCTGGTGATACTATCTGCCTTCCCAAACCTCAAACCCGTGACTCAATGGTTGATAGTAATCTCTTTAAATCAGTGGACTGCAGCTCCACTCAGAGTTTTAATGAGAAGCTGTAACCTGTGTGATCAACCACGTATTCAGATGACAAATAGTCATCAATAGCTTTGGATGATGTCGGCACAATGCTGCAAATTAAAAGAAATGGGAAAATGTAAACCGCTGGCTGAATCATAGCATGCACGCCAGGAAACTCGGATGAGTCCACTGGTGGTGGGGTCATGAGTCCGCACTGCTGAGGACTCCATACTAAGAAAAATAGCTCGAGTCTTCAGTAGTTTTCAAACTGTCTCCAACCTGGGCTGAACGGCTGATGCATTCATCATGGTAGCTGAAGACCATTGGTCCGTTCCATGCTAGAGTCACATTTGTTTACTGTTGAGGAATCAAACACTCTGACGAGAAAGCTGACAAGTTCTCATAGGTTTTCGATACTTCTCCGGCTGATGCCCGTCCTCGATAAATATTAACTTGAAATCATGTTAATGACAAATAGACTGTGTAGAAATTTAATTTAACAGAATTCTAAAGGTTTCTGAAAATGAGGGAAAAACAGAAAGCAATACAGCTAAGAGTACATCTTAGAGAGAAGAAAGTGAACGAAAAAAACGAAAGAGGAATATCAGGACGAACGAAAATTATTTAGTCAGTGGAACATCAGGAAAGAAATATTTTTAGAACGTGTTCTACATATACCTTTCCGCTATACAGAATGCTTAAACCAGTGACACGTAGAAGAGTCCTCAGAACATATTGGGTATCCCAGTAAAATCTGTTCTTGCATCTATTTGGTGCCCTGTATCTACTAAGTGTAGAATTTTTCACAGATCTGGCTTCATCTTTTTCAATAAAAGCTTGTAAACATTCTCGTATTTTGAGACGGCTGTCTTACTAAACTATCCCACAGGATCAGCTGAAGTTTTTGAATGCATGACGATAACCTAAAATTTGGTAAGGTGCCATTTAGTTTCGAAACACGATAAGCAGAAGGATACTGAGTGGAATTTTCTGAATAAATGTAAATTGGAAATTTAGGCCGCAGTGGAATTGAAACCAGTGACTTCTAGGTTTCTGGTTCGGTGCTGTACCAACTAAGCTACGAGTTGATAGAGTCCAAGGCAGCAGACCCAGCAGTCTATAGTTTCAGTCCTACCGTGACCTAAATTTTCATCTCACTTCCAATTGTCACCCAGCAATACAATGTTATCAAATTTGATTGTACAGCTTTAAAATATGATAAGAAGTTACGGAGAAGAATATTTTTCATTCATACTTGACTTTTCGTATGTTTTATCTTTTTATTCAAACAGAATGAACTGAGAATTAATTAGCTGTCATCGAAGTAAGACACCTGAGCTTTTTTTTCCCAGACAGACTAAACTATCTGTTGAAGACACAGAGGTAAAGGTTAATACAGGTTTCTCCCTTCTGGTGTTTACAGTATACTATTACCTTTATCAATGACTGTTGTTATTCATTCCTGGTCTCTATTAAAATACAAGTGAGTTGTTGTATTAGTAAGAGAAAATAAAGCTTAAAATCAGTATAGAACCAATCCATATTTTGGAAATTTCCATTCACCTTTTGCATTGAAAGAGATATCCACAACATATAAATGTACAAATTCTAACTGTCAGCTGAGTATTCAGTTTGTCAATAAAATATACATGAAATCATCATTCATTATTGGAAGGGTTATACATTAAATCAGGAACTGCACAGATACTTATGAGTAAATGTCTACATGACATCAGAAGGAGATAACAAGGTATCCAACAGTGTTAATGTGTTCCAATGGTTTGATGCTTTCAAATGGTTACTACTTCAAGTTAAATTTAGTGTAATCTGCAGAGTTCAGTCAGACCAGTCACAAAATGCACTTAGCGAAGAGTTACTCATTTCAGCTTATCATTCTCAAGCTGAACAATAATATTACATTAACATGATGACAGAAAAAAGTTTCATAAAATATTTTAAAAGAAACTCAGTCTTAATTACTTATCAAGAGATTGAGATAAAATAATTAAAGTTGCTCAACAACGGCATTGGGTGGAGGTCACATTATGTCGTGAACTGACAGAAGTAGGAGATATGGATCTCTCAATTCCTACCCAGTGACTCAATGGTAATATGCTGGCCACGGAACCTGAAGGACCTGGGCTCGATCCCTAGAGGACGGGGTCACGGATACACACTGCTTAAGGGTCTCGTATTAAGATGAAACAGCTCTCCAGTGCTCTCAGGTTTTCAGTGTTTTTCCAACGGATCCCAGTCTGGGATGAATAATAATGTGAAATCAATAAACAAACCTCCAAAACCAGTTGAGTAATGTCTAAAAAGGTAACGAGAAGAAGACTTATCAAGACCGAAACAATAATAGTTTATCTATTTAAATGATATCGTATGCTCGTGCAGATCGGTGAATGGAATCAGAAATCAAAATTATCAAGATGGAAGAATGTGATATGTGAGTAGACATGAATGAAAAGAATTTGTGGGCGAATTTTTCTTATAGGCTATGTCCAACACAAGTCAAATGACTGGACAAACTTCTTTTGACTTCAGAGTTCAAGCTTCATAAGGAAAGAGTGACTCTACATTAAACTTCTTTTGTATGGTGACTTAATGCAGACTTTTGAATTATACAGTCGCAAAATGTAAGCCCGAAATCTTTTACACTGTGAAAGCATCCAGACAGTTAATATCAATACAAGACTGGTCATTATCGCTTAAAAGTCTAATTTACCAGATATTACGTCAGTGTGTCAAGATGAAAAGTAGACAGGAGAAGAATAAAGAAATAAGAAAAAATTGTATTCAAAAACTCATGGAAACTAATATTTAAAGATCAGTATTAAAAAGCTATTGGTTAAGTTGACCCATTTACAATAAGCATAACTCAAAGTAACTAAGCACTGCTAAGGCTTATCAGAGGATGCATGGTGAACTGATGGAACTTCTGATATTCGTACTGCACACCGCGGTATCCGCGATAACATATTTGCG